CGCCCGATTTTTAACATTTCCTTGGGGCAGGGAAAGGGATTTTTTTTTTTTTTTTTTTTATTTTTGGCACGCCGACCATTTCTTTCCTCTTTATTCTGGGCAGGTTCGTCAAGCTCCGAGCGCGCTGGTTTTGCAAATAATTTATAATTAATTTAATAAGACCTCCTCACGTGGAGGCGGGGCGGGGGGGGATACACACAATATTTGCACTTTCCTCCCCAAAAATGTGCTTTGTGCCTTTGCCAACCCCTCCTCCAGCTTTGCCTGAGGGGTCCTGGGACTGTTGGTAGCGGTTTGTGCCACGTCCCGGCGATGGTTTGGGAACCGCGCCGGTGGTTTTGATCCTTCTTGGTGCCACCGATGGCTCCGGCGGAGCCCGGCACGCTGTTGGGACAGGGAGAAGGACGGACGGATGGATGGACAGACAGACGGGAAGGACGGAGGTCGCAGGGCACCTGCTGGGACAGGGGAACAGCTCCAAAAAACCCTTTTCTAATCATAGCTCCGGCTTCCTGTTTTCCCATGCTGCGGGGCTGCCGCCGGCCGCGCCGGAGCGGTGGGATTCGTGCCGGGGTGCTTGGCCGTGTCGGGGGGGACCCAGAGCCCTCCTGCCCGTGCTCCTCTGCCTGCCCGCTTTCCTGCCTGTCTCCCATCACGAGGAGTTTTCCCTGCCACGACCTCCTCTTTGGGCCCCGTCTCCCGGCGCGCCGGCCCCTCGTGCCGTCATCCCGGAGTCCCCCATCCCATGCTCGTCATCCCGAGCGATCTTATTTTATTTATATGTATATATATACGTAGCCAGTGGGTAAACACACAACGTGGGCGGCGTGCGGGTACATATATAATCTATATAAAATAGCCGGTGGCGGGCGTGTACGCGTATGGGAAAGCGCATTTAATAGCCCCAGCAAGTTCCCTTTCTGTGCGCACCGGCGTGGCGCAGAGCGGGACTCCCGGCTCTGCCTTTTGCCTGCCTGCGCCGCGGAGAGGGGGGTAAATATGGCGGGCAGAGAGAAAACGGGGAGGAAAAACAATCGTGCCTGGGGATATTGCGAGGATCCGGGTCTCCTTTCACTTGAAAAAGCCTAAATTTGGTGCACGGGGAGGTGACACGGAGCGGTTCGAGGCAGGGAAGGGGAATTTCCGAAGCCGGTGTCTGGGCGGTCTCCCGGCCTGGCCGCGGCGTTGGGGTCTGCCACACGAAATGGCTCCCGTTCCTCAGCACTGCCAGTGCGTAGGTCCGAGTCACCCCAAAACGCGCCTTGTCCTGCGCCGCGCTGCTGTGTACCGCGAGGGTCGGGCCGTCCCCTCCTCCCTGCCTCAGTTTCCCCCCAGGAATGAGCCTGGAGGGGTCCAGCCCGCGGCTCTTTTTCAGGCTGGGGTGGCCGTGTGGGTGCTAAGTCCCTGGTGGGACCGGGACCCCCTTTTGCTGGGTGCTGCTCACCCGCTGACAGAGAGCTCGGGGTCTGATTTAAACCGAGGGGCAGCGAGTGAGTGCGATGAGGAGGAGGAAGGCTCACTGCCCCATCCCAGCCCCAGGGTGCTTTTTTTGTGGGAGCAGGGATGTTCCCGGACAGCACCGGTGCCGTTCGGAGGAGGCTGCCCATCCGGCAAACGCAGGACCGCGGCCGAATCCACGCAGCTGTGGCCCTCCGTGCCTCGGTTTCCCTAGCCGCTGGTGCTCTGCCGTAGGCACCTCGCCCCCGAATCCCGCCACCCTGAAGGCTTTCGGTGACGCGCTTTGCCGGAGGTGCCGGTCTAGTTTCTCCCGGGATCCCGGCCGCGGCCTGGTTTACATTACAGACAGAGCTCCTCGGGGACCTCTCCTCTACGTTCCGCCGGGGTCCCTTGTACACTTTACCCTTAAACACCCCCGTAATGAGGTTTGCCGGCGCGGCGATGCCCGTTTATGCCGGGCCGTTAGGCCAGTGTCGTTTTCTCGCCGTCCCCCTTTCAGATGTTTTCTATTACCCGAAGACGGATTTAGAATTAATTTTCCCAATGTGTTTAAGCGTCTCTATAAATCTCCCGGCCCC